TATGTGTGTATAAATACAAACACATGCATGTATATATTTAAGAAAAATATGTTGTTTATATATAAATATATTTTTATATAATATAAATATATAAATGTATATACATGTGAATATTTTCAAAATATATACTGTATATGTGTGTATTTATATATACATAATAAATAAACACAGTACACACACACATATTATGTAAACAAAAACGTTTATTTTGGATGCTATTAATCGTTTGACCGCACCAATAAAAAGTAAAAACTATTATTATTGCATTATGTCTTTTATTATGTATCCACAACATCTATATACAGAGCTAAACATGTTTAACTAGATCTAGCTACCATAAGTTAGCAAAGATGTCAGTGCCTCAATTAAACTTCCTTTCAGTCTTTATGCCTGCTGGAAAGATACTGTCTTGTTGTTTTACTGTTTACCACTGGGTGGCGGCATGTTTTCAGATCTAGGGATGTGAATGCCAACATACAGTCCAAACCTGTCAGTCACTGAGTCTTGTGCTATCAGAATCCTCCCTCGGTTCCGGCGTGTGTCTCAAACACTCATTATTTTCTTCCAGATGCGCCTAACGGCACAATGAGGGTCGTCTGCTTTGATTATTAAATATGACCGTGGTGTAGGGTGGCCTTGATCAGGTCATGTGACGAACGCTGTCCTGTAATTAGACAGATCAGGCCAATTGTTCTTTAATAACAGTGCTAGAAATGCATATGTGTTGGGTCACACTAGTAGATCAGATCTTTGTTCTAGTTGTTTAAATGTTATCGTTTTATGCTTATAAACCCTTGCTCCAGTCCCTAACCTTAATTTTCCTTCCTTCATCAACCCCTAACTAGGTATAGATCACAATTGGTTGACTAGTCATCCAAAAACTGACCAATTATTACGGTGACCCAGTAGTGCACAACACAGCGAAAACACAGCGGACAAAAGCAGCCACACAACACAACAGAAACAAGGCACAACACAACAAAATTAGCACAACAACAGAAACAAGCCGCAACACAACAAAATTAGTCCTATGCCAAAGTTAGTCATATTGTGTTGTGGCGATTTCATTGTGTTGTGCACTACTGGACCACCATAAATTATGATGTGAATCTAGATGGTTAGTTTTGATATTTGTAGCATTAGTGCTTAATTTAGCATGCTAATGTTCTGTTAAACTTTAGCAGTTAGATATTTTGCACACTTTAAGTTCTTAAAATTGAGAAACGTTCTTGAAAAACACTTTGCCGGACGTACAAATGCTCCATGTTTGTGGTGTTTCTCCAGGTCCACGCTCACTCCGTTCTCTCGTGTGGCCGTTGCTTCGATGAAGACCAGATGCTGTTCCCGTTCATAGGCCACGCCCTCTGCGGTTTGTGGGCGGATCAGGGGGTGCGGTCAGCAGCAGCGCGAGGATACGAGTACGAACTCAATGACTCTGCACTATAGTGAGTAACACTTGGACTCTAATCGCTAATTACTCACCATCGCTAATAAGACGTTAGCGTTAACACAGTTACCACAGTAATACATTAATTGTGAGCAATGTTTTTACGCCAAGAGTTCATGTTATGATATTTAATATCTAATATTAGACTACATTTCCTAGAATATCTTGTTGGAGGTTTGTTGTTCATGTTTTTTGTTTGTTTTTGGAGTGTTTAGGTACTTAGCTGCTACTTAGCTGCACACTTTCTGATAAGTACTCAGTGTTTGGTTGTGATTTATCATTTTATCTTCATGCCCACCTAGATTCAAAGCTAAAAATAGTCAATGAAAACATTTCCTTTTCTTTGTGTTTTCAAGTAACCTTCGGTTAGCAAGCTAACAGCTTAACCTGTTTAGACAAACCATTCTAGTTATGCAGGGCTTCTTTAAGATTAGCTAGTCGGCTAGTTGTTCAGGCTTATATATAAATTATTATATAAATTGTTATATAAATAACAATAACATATAAATAAAATTATATTATTTATATATTATAAATAATATAAATTATTATATAAATCAAAAATATATATATGATTATATATAAATAACAGAACCCTTATCAAAATTAATTATGGTTTTACTGGTTTATAAAACCAAAAAAAAAAACATGGTTACTATAATTAAACCATGGTAAACTAACCATGGTTTTGCTACACTAACCATAGTTTAACCATGGTATTTGTAGTAAAACTGTGGTTATAAATATGGTAACCAATATGCCAAAAAAATAAAATTTTACTATAATAAAACCATGGTTAATTTTCATAAGGGAAACTAGTGTAATTAAATGATAAAACATGTCAATTAAAATCTTTTGAATTACGTGCCATATTAACCGTAAAATTGAAGCTAAAACAGAATTTCTGTTAGCCTTCGTGGTTTCAGTTAGCCACAGTGTTTTTTTTTTCAGTTAGCTGCAATTTTTTTTCAGTTAGCCTCTTTTTTTTTTTTTTTTTTTTTTTTCCAGTTTGTTTTCGTTTTTTCCCCAGTTAGCCTCCCTTTTTTCAGTTAGCCTCCATTCATTTTAGCTTTTTAGTTAGCTGTTTTTTTTTTCCAGTTAGCCTAAGTTTTTTTCAGTTAGTATTCTCTGTTTTGTTGGTGAAGAAAAGCTCTTTTAACTAGCTTGAACACGTTTTGATCAGAGAGCAAAGAGAATTCGGACCACAACACCGGAATGGGTCTCTGAAATGCTTTGCATCTCATTTGAATCTTATTTAACCACGCTCATATAGGCCAATCATGATCTGGAAAAGGTCATGAATGTTTTATTCTAATCTAATTGGTCATTTGACACGGGTGCTGACCCCTGAATCTTTCTCATGTTCAGTAAACATTTCACGTGCAGCGAGGAAATTTACAGACAATTTTAAGTAAAACTGTTCCTCGAAATATTCAGCTTATATTATTTTTCTGAATCTATTAAAGATCCTTAGCACAGATTACGTCATTCATTTTCAGTTATTGACAAGAATTTATCTCCTGAAGACTTGATCCGGAAGGATTTAAGGTTATTCAATATTTTATTGATTTTCTAGCTCCCTAGCCCAGGTTTTCCCAATGCTTCCTGATGCAGTTTCTGAAACCTCAATGTAGGTTTAATGGAACTAATGTGCAACTGCCACTCTTGAGCCATAATGGCCGCTGATCTGTGACTCAATCTGACACTCCCACTGTGAATAATGGCTGATTAGTGGGATATTCAAACAGTGAATTGTGTAATTACACGTGTGTGCGATGGCAAACTAAAACACCAAGAGGCTGATTATTTAAATGAAGCAGAAAGGGTCACCCGTGTCACAGACATGTGGTGTGTGCCACAGCGAATGAACCTCAAACTCCGCAGCGAGGTGTGTGTGTGGTAACTCATAAACGGCAATTAGAAAGCAGTCAAACCTCAAAGCCTACAGCCTTTGTCAGTTGATATATATATCCTGCAATGCATGCTGGGACGTCACGTAAAGGAGGTTTGACGTGATCGCTTGTCTTTTTGATTAGCACGCAGGACACCTAGTGAAGGTTGTAAAGAATGAGGAAATGGAGGCGAGCGAGATATGAGTTGCTGTGTGTGGTTGAAGTTGTCCATACCGAATGTGTTTGACATCAAAACCCACAAACACAAAAGCGCATAGCCTCGATTCTACTGAATACTCACACATATGCACAAGTATGTCCTTAGCTGTAGATTTGGGGGGGGGGGGATGCCCCAATTAAGTGAATTAAAATGTATTATTATTATTATTAATGTTTTAATTCTAATACATTTAAACATATGATATTATTATCAGTAGCAGTTTTAATAATTTTCATATGTATTATTGGTAGTAGTAATAATAAAAAATTCATTTATAATATTTTAGTAGTAGTAGTAGTATAATTGGTATTAATAATAATTTTAATAATAATAACTATTATTACTTCATATTAGTCATTATACATTTTAATTAAATTAGTTTTAAATTACTTTTATGAAAAAAAAAACACTAAGCCCAGATAACAGCAAAATAATAATATAAAAATAATAATTTATAACAATAATGTCATTTAAAAAAAAATGTTGTTATTATTATTAATGGTTGTTTAAAAATTATTATATTATTATCAGTAGTAGTTTTAATAATTTTAAATGTATTATTGCTAGTAGTAGTAGTAATTAATTTAAAAATAATATTTATAACTAATAATGTGTAATTTATTTATATTATTATTATTATTATTAGTAGTAGTAGTAGTAGTACTAGTAGTAGTAGAAAAGGTATTAATACTTTAAAATAATAACTTATCACTTTGCTCTCCTCAACTGCCGCTCCATCTCGGATAAGGGTCCTTATCTAAATGAACTTACTATGGACAACAACCTGGATATGTTATTTCTTACTGAAACCTGGCAAACACTGAATGATTTCGTACATCTTAACCTGCTTACACCGAACGGATATCAATACTTGTCTAAACCGCGTTTACATGGTAAAGGGGGTGATCTCTTTAACTCTTTATCTATCACTCAGCTGGATTTTCACATTCCTAAGTCCTTTGAGTACATGGTTCTGAAAATTGGCTCAAGCTGTCCTCTTATAATTATCCTTATTTATAGGCCACCTAAGCAGCAAACTGAATTTTTCTCAGAACTATGTGAACTATTAACTTTAGCTTGTGCTGCATCGTCCAAGGTCATCTTACTTGGCGACTTTAACATACATGTTGATACTGTCTGCTCTAACAGCACTCAATTGAAGACTGTCCTGGACTGCTTTAATCTTACCCAGAATGTTAATTTCCCAACTCACTCTCATGGTCATACACTTGACTTAGTTTGCACGTCTGGTTTGAATAACATCTCCATCAGTAGTCATGCTATTCCTATCTCTGATCATAAGCTTATCACTTTTGACTTTACGTTAATACATCCTACTAAATGTGCTGGTAATACTACCATTTCTTATCGCAAAATCAGTGCTGTCAATGTAAATACTTTTGCTGCTTCAGTTGCTTCCTCTACTATTTCTGATGTTTTCCAATTCACCTGTCAATCTGTGATATCTGACGTATATATTTCTGTTATTGTTGATGTTTTAGATGAGCATGCTCCAATAGGACTAGGTCTGTTCCTTTGTCCCACACCTCTCCCTGGTATAATGCTGAGCTTTGTGCTATGAAGGCAAAAGGCAGACTGCTTGAACGCCTTTTTAGAAAAACTGGGCTGACTGTCCATTTTCAAATATTTTCAGAACATATTAGGCATTATAAAACTGCCTTGAACGCAGCACGCTCTTCCTATATTTCCGACATCATCAATAAAGCTAACAATAGGCCAAAAACACTGTTTAGCATGGTTAATAAATTAGTCCAGCCACCTAGCCATAGTCTCAGTCAATATGAATGTGATGATTTTTGTGGCTCTTTCTTGCGCCACTTTCAAATAAAACTGGATGCTCTATGTGGGTCTCTTGGCACTGAACCAACCACTTCTACTTGTGAGCAAGCTCAATCTATTCAACTGTTAAATAATTTTACCTTGACAACTCCAACCTTAATTGCTGAAATAATACAGAACTCTAATTCTTCCACATGCCAGCTAGATCCTGCGCCCACATTCCTTCTGAAACACTGTACTTCTGTCATTTCTGCTCCTATTTCACACTTAATAAATATGTCCTTTATCTCTGCCACTGTTCCAATTTCACTGAAAACTGCTGCTGTTACTCCTGTTCTTAAAAAAAACAAACCTGGACCCAGCTGATTTCACCAACTATCGTTCAATCTCCAATTTACCATTTATTTTGAAAATTATGGAAAAAGTTGTTGCCAATCAGCTACAGTCTTTTCTAGCTCTCAGCGATCAGTTCGATGCATTTCAATCTGGTTTTCGCCCTCATCACAGCACTGAAACTGCTTTAGTTAAGGTTGTCAACGATTTGTTACTCTCTGGTGACTCAGGTAATCTCTCCATTCTCCTGCTGCTCGATCTCAGCTCAGCATTTGATACTGTCTGTCACAAGATATTACTCTCCCGCCTTTCAGAGATGGGTGTCTCAGGTGCTGCACTATCCTGGTTCTCTTCCTATCTCACTTAGGCATGGGCCGGTATGAGATTTTGACGGTATGATAACCTTAAGCAAAAATATCACGGTTTCACGGTGTCACGGTATTGTCATTACAGCTCTAAAATATGTTATTTTTAGATGACTGGGTAAAAAAAATAAAATAATATTTTTTCCGCTGAACACAATATATTTTGTTTTTGAGTAACATACAGAATATTAGGAATTAGAATTTGTTTATTTTTTCTTTGATTTGTTTCCTAAAAAGAAGAAAAATAAAGACTGACATCTTTAAACCTAAATCTGTAATTACAGTTATTTAATTTTAGTTATATAATTCATATACATATCATTTATATCATTTCATATCGTTTAGCTATATAATTTCATATACATAATTTGATTTAATAATAACCCAA